TTTGCTAAATGTAGACATTTAAAATATCCTGTAATTTTAAAACCATGTTTTGGTATTCTTTTAATTAAAAATTTCAAACTGAGAAAAGTAGAGAATATTGTATCCATGTGCATACCAGCCATTTTAACAAATGCTAACAAAGGCTGAGGTCCTTTTTGAATCTTTCTTGGTCCATTCCTTAGAAATTTCTACATTTTTTGCCATACAAGTATCACGAAGTTGAAGGGGCCCGGACCTCTGCTGATGTCTGTCCTTCTGCCTCACTCCCTGCCACTGTGTTTTGGGGGCCTGTCCGCGGGTGTCTCCCCTCGGCTTTCACTGCAGTGCAGAGGCAGCACGTGGCTGAAGAACAGCTGGGAGAGCGTGGGGCCAGGTAGTCGTCATAGCTGGAGAGGCCAGGCAGGAGTGTATGTGTGGGCTGGAGAGAGCCGAGAGGGACAGATAAGTACCTGGGGCCAGTCGGTAAGGTGGAAAGTGGGGAAGACTGGGAGAGCGAGTAAGGTGGGAGCAGGCAAGAAAAGCAATCTACATGCTTGATGGAGCCGGTGACTAGAGGTCAGCAAGAGTGATCCTCTGAAGTAGTGTTGTGATCGTCAGGTCAAAGGATTTTAGGTCTTCTCTGCGTAGGTTTTGTGCTCATGCTGTGTGAGTGATCCAGCTAGGGAGAGGCTGTGCTTGAATTCTCAGTATCTCTTCCTTGGACCACCATAGTGGTCTCTTATTAATGGCAGTGCCTGCCTCTCACCAGTTCTTCACAGGATTTCTATACGAGAGAGTCCTTCCTTATTTAGTTACTTTTATTTTTATTTTTAAAGATTTATTTATTTGGGGAGGAGCAGAGAGAGAGGGAGAACCTTAAGCAGTCTCTGCACTGAGCGTGGAGCCTGACGCGGGGCTTGATCTCACGACCCTGAGATCACAACCTGAGTCGAAACCAAGAGTTGGACGCTTAACCGACTGTGCCACCCAGATGCCCCAGATTCTTTTCCTTATTTAAAAATCTATCCTGCCCCATCACCTGTGGAATAAAGCTCTCACTTCTTGTGGCATGTGAGGTCATCTGTCTCTCCTGCTCCTCTTTTCCCTGACGCAGCTGGAGTTTAAGTCACATAGTCTCTCCTCTCGTCATTTCACTTGAACTCCTCTCTCTGAAAAGCCCACATATGCTCTCTCTATCATCTCTGCGTGGTGAACTCCTGTTCACCTTTGGAGGCCAGCTCATGCCTTTCGGCAGATGGAATAAGTCTTTCTTGTAATTGTTCATTTGTGCTTGGCTGCTCTTGCTAGAATCGGAGTTTCTTGAAAGCAGTGACACCATGTTCCATCTTTGACTTCAGTGCTGCTAACACAGGGCTTGGCCTCGGGAAATCTTTGTTGAATTGAATTAATAGGCAATTCAAACTTGGATTTTAGCCATTTTTTTTTTTTATGTTGGTGGGAAAAATCCTGCATGGTGTAGATTTTGATTCTCTGCAATCACAGCCACGGAATTATAAGACTGAACTTGGGAGGTTTGGATATGAGACATTTCTGTACCTTCTGGTTTAAAAAAAAAAAGAAGCCTTCATGGTTTGTTGCACTCTGCAATATTCACAGTCATGTTTCATTTATACATTCGCCTCATTTATACATTTGATGTGTCGTTTGTATAATACTGACTTATGGTTGACATTTTGCTTGGATCTTAGTAAAGATTTCACAAAATAGAAAAGAGAAGTGTAGATTTTGTAGCATCAGTAGCCACTGCTCAGCTGCAACTTGGTCAGAAGGCTGATGGAGAGTAACTATTCAGATAGATAATGAAACCAGCTGAGGTAGGAATGAGGCTACAATTTAGTAAGATTTTAAAACTTTCTCTGGCTTGTTCTTTCTTCCTGCCTGTAGGATTTTTGTCCCTGAGTCATGGAAGACAGAAGAGCTGAGAAGTCATGTGAACAAGCGTGTGAATCACTTAAGAGGCAGGACTATGAAATGACCCTCAAGCACTGCACAGAGGCCCTCCTTTCTCTTGGCCAGAACTCCATGGCCGACTTGACAGGGCCATGTCCACTGGAGATAGAAAGCATCAAAATTGAGAGTCTTCTTTACAGAATTGCCTCATTTTTGCAACTGGTGAGTAAACACTGTTGATAAGCCAATGCCAAACCATGTGAAAGGGACTTTTTCACTGAGTGGGGACAGTTGTTGGTCATAATCACCTAATTCTGGGCTGAGGAGATGAGCGACCTGACTAGTGATTGCTGAATATGTTTAATTACAGCAACTGTTTTTCAGCCTTTAAATTGCACTGATGTATAACATTTTGGGTTATTCACTCATTCACCAAATATTTATTGAGTGTATACTATGTGCTGGACACTGGTCTAGGTACTTGGTATACATTGGTGAGAAAGAAAAAGATCCTTCATGGTATTTTTTCTATTAGGGGGACAGACAATAAGCCATAGATATTATCTATAGGTAGACACTTTAGATTGTTAGAAGGTATGAAAGTCTGCATGAAAAAAAGCCAGACAGGGCAAGGGAGATTGGGGATACTAGGGTTAGGGATGCAGTTGCAGTTTTAAATGGAGTGGTCAAGGTTGGTTTCACTGATCAGGTGATATGAAGGGAGTGAGCCGTGTCAATCTGGAGGAAGAGATTACAGGCAGAGGAAACAGTGTGAAGACCCTGAGGCAGAAGCCTGCCTGGTATGTTTGAGAGATAGCTAGGTGGCCCCTGTGCTGGAGAAAAGTATGTGACAAGGAGAGGGTAAGAGAACTAGATCCTGTGGGGTCCTCCAGGTCCCTGTAAGGACCTGTTTTTCTTCTACTTAAGATGGGGAGCTTTTGTGGGTTTTTTAAATTTCATTTTTAATTTTATTTATTTATTTATTTAAAGATTTTATTTATTTGACAGAGACACAGCGAGAGAGGGAACACAAGCAGGGGGAATGGGGGAGGGAGAAGCAGGCTTCCCGCTGATCAGAGAGCCCGATGTGGGCCTCGATCCCAGGACCCTGGGAGCATGACCTGAGCCGAAGGCAGACGCTTAACAACTGAGCCACCCAGGCGCCTGGGTTTTTTTAATTTTAATTAAAAAAATTTTTTTTTTAGGTTTTATTTATTTGTCAGAGAGGGAGAGAGAGAGGAGCACAAGCAGGGGAAGCGGCAGGCAAAAGGAGAAGAAGGCTCCTCGCTGAGCAAGGAGTCTGATACGGGACTTGATACCAGGGCCCTGGAATCATGACCTGAGTGGAAGGCAGACGCTTAACTGACTGAGCCATCCCGGCGTCCCTCTTACGGGGTTTTGAGCAGAGGAGTGGTATGATCTGATTTGGCAGGAATTCTTTGGCTTTTGTGTTGAGAATAGGCTATAGAAGGGTAAGTGTAGAGGCAGGAGGACTAGTTTGGAGGCTGTTGGAATAATCCATGCCAGAGATGGCAGTGGTTCAGACAAAATGGTAGCAGTGGAGAGAGTGGGAAGTGCTTTGGTTCTGGTTCTAAGTTGAAGATAGAACTAGTAAAGATTTCTTAATCCGTGAATGCAGGGAGTGAAAGAGAGGGAGCCATCACAGATTCCTTACTTCAGTGTTGTTTTGTCTGAGCAATTGGAAAGTGGAGTTTCCTTCCTTCCGTGAAGTCATTAGCTGAGGGTGATCATGAAGGAGGAGGCTCTGGTGATTTGGAGCTAGAGAAAATGAGAAGTCGAGTGAGTAAATGGACAGGGAAGTACATTATAATGTTTATTTGTAGAGTACTATGTAATCCTCAGAGAGCACATGAGTTGGTTTTGCTCTGTGAATATTATATTTGAAGCATTAATAATTAAACTTTGAAACAAAGCAGAGCTCTTTTTGGATAAAATCTGTGTTAAGCAGCCCTTGAACTACTTAATTTAATCTTGTATCTTTTTTATTTTGCAGAAAAACTATGGGCAAGCTGATGAAGATTGTAGGCATGGTATGTTTAAAAATGGGACTGTTTTCTACTTTGAAAATTTTGGGTTATTTAAATGAGCAGTGTTGAAGATTTGATTTTTTATATGCTAATTTCAGGAGAGATTATAATATTTTAAACACTCCACCTTACAGTGATGACTAGTAACTAATTTAGATGACATCTTCCTTGCCTTGATGGGTGTACACTTGAACATTGTTCCCAGTCACGAGTGGGAACATTGATAGTGTCCTTTTCACGTTTGTGTATTTTTAGTCAGTAAGAGCCAAATTTTAAGAACTGTAACACACATTGATTAAATGTTAAGCTTGGGTCAATTGAAATGCTAGCTTGTTCTTCCTAAAGTGTTTTTTTCCCTTCAGTAGAAGATTTCCTTTAGAGAGGAGAGACTGTCTAGGGTGCTCCTTGGTGCTTTTTCCTGTTTTCTTTGGGCGAGAAATTAATAAAAAGATTCTTGCTCTTT